GGGGGGGAATTTGAACGTGTTGGTGATTGTTAGCGCAGCTCGTACTCAAACACACAACCGTGGTGTTAATTAGCGGTGTTGCTTTCCCACCACCTCTTTTTCATGTTGTCAAAAACAATAAATATATTAATATCGTTTAAAATAGATTTTTCATACAGACGTACCGTTGACGCTCGTGCGGCCCACGAGTGCAGTGTGCAGAGCGATGTCTTATCGAAGCATGCCTTTTGTACAATGGCTGTGTTCTTGGCTAACCTTGGTGCTGTCCGACCATCCCGTCACCCGCTCCGTCAGCCAGAGGGAGGGGAGGACTCACCCGCTGCATCCAAATGGATCGAGAGAGAGAGAGAGAGAGAGAGAGAGAGAGAGAGAGAGAGAGAGAGAGAGAGAGAGAGAGAGAGAGAGAGAGAGAGAGAGAGAGAGAGAGAGAGAGAGAGAGAGAGAGTGTGTGTGCGGGGGTGTGAATGTCAGGGAAAGTTAGCGTGTGATCGTGACGGTGCAAACTTGCCGATAGAGAGGGCGAGTGTGTGTCGGTGCCTGTTGTTGTATTCTGCGTGTGAAAAAGAAACGGATATACTGTAAGTTTGTGCACATCGGAGTATATTTGTGTGTGTGTGTGTGTCTTTTCTCTGTTTAGAGAAAATAAATTGACAAAATGAAGAGGCAAAGTCCTCCCAAGCCGCCACCACACCCCGGCACAGACGTAAAGAAATGACTTGACATTTTTACTGTATCTTGTTCCATAAGTGGCCCGTCATCAAAGTTGGGGCAGAGCCATTTTATACCTCGCTAGCTTGACATTACCACCTCTAATGAGATCACAGATAGCTTTTATCTTGTGTTACGGGATTGTTTTTCGCCCCGCTGTCGACACCGCATCTGTTTTGGGAACAATGGCCTCTCGTCTCTTCCAAAATTACCTATCAGCGCTTATCAGATGCAGGGTTATCCACAGTGTTGTGCAGTTGGATAAAGGTCGGGCTCTTTTCACAACAGGCCAGATGTTGCAGCGACCGGTACAGATTTACCAATATTACCGTTTCACTCCTGATCCAAATCCCATGTTGGAGAACCCTATTTTACGATCAGTTTTTATTGTTTCTTTATTGTTTTTCTCTCCGTCTCAATGTGTTTTGTATGTTTCTTTTGAGATCACCAATTCATTACATTACCGGCACTAATTGTACTTAATTAATTTCGTGCAAAGTGAACAAATCTATTTATAACCTTCCCAAAAAGGGGAAAGAAAACACTTAAGCTGTTGCTCTGGGTATCCGATACAGGGACGTGAGTAGTTGATAGGGCTGGGTATCGTTTAATAAATAACGTTGCCGGTACCAATCATGGATGCAATAATCCAACTATTTTAAGTCCTGACAGCGATACCTGGGCTTTGGTTATCGGCCGGTACCAGTGTTAAATGAATCAGCTGTGTGCCTTGACTTAACCATTGCTTCCCGAACCTTGAAATCAAAATGTAACAAATAAACACTTTGAGCTTAACGACTCCTCTTCACAAACCTATGCGAGACGTCACGGAGACTGGTTAAAACCCGCTCTGTCAGCACTGATGGCGCTGTTCGCTACATCGCTGATTTTAGAGCCGTGTGCAAGCAGGTGTTGCAGATGCTGCCGTAGCGCTCCAATTGCATGTTGCATTGAATCGAAGAACGCTTGTGCTGATTGGCTGCAAGCAAAAACAATGCAAATACTATTTTTTTGCTCTAGATCTGGGCACAAAAATGATCGTTTGACTGGAGAAGTTTCGATACTACTTGAAAATGAGTAGTGACATCCAGCCCTAGTAGTTGACGGGGTATTTGTTAAGCCAATGGGAGCAGAAATAAGGGAAGCAGGGAGGTTTTTTTTTTTTTTTTTTCACCTCAGCGCAGTATTTCCAACAGAATGATTGTTTGCAGTACAGGGTCAGTAGTGTTCAGACAGAGCTGATCCGTCTGTCTCGCTCCACTGTCTCTTGTCACCTTCTCTCTGCTTCTTTAAAACAACTGCTATAGCTCCTCCTATATCTGTCATCTAGAGGGAAAACACACACATACTGTACATTCACAGAGATAATCTGCAGGTTTTATGACCATATCCCCGCTGTCCATTACCTGCTACATCTTTTACCACAGTGGTGGAGACTTGATTTGTTGCCCTGAGGTCAAAGCCAATTCCCCACAATGTTCTCCTCCTACTCCGCCCCGTTTTCTCTCTCCATGTAACCTAACTTTTTTGGGGGGGGGGGGGAACGCTTTAAAGGGCACATTTGATGGAAGTAAATGAAGCGATATACCCTAGGGGAAAAAATAGAATGATCGGCTGTGTCGAAAGGCAGCTGACATGTCTAACAGAATCAAAACGGCACGATTTCAAGAGTCTCCGACAGATTACAAAGTCTCCAGGACAAGATGTGGTAACCGTGTTACCACCGGTTTAAATCCTGAAATGGCTGAATATAAAAACCCTTCCCCCTCAAGTGTAGCTCAGTCACCTTCCCCCGCATGACTCCGCTAAAAGATACTTTTATGATCAAACATGTTCTACCAGTGGACATTCATTCTGTGGATTCAGTCCTCTAGTGTAAGCTCTAATTGAACTTGAAGTAAGGAAGACAACAATTTGTTCAAAATTCAAATGAATCAAAGCTCTTTGTGGCTTTACTTTAATTCGTTCAGTTGAAAACAGTGGATGACATGGTTGGGAGGCTTTTACTTTGAAATCTCTTTGTTTCTCTCTTACAGCTTGCCCCCCCCCTCCCTCTGTGTAATCACCCCCACTTGTAATAAGTGACGCTAACTCCCATTAGCCATGCTTGACGTTAGCATGTGTACCTCCTCAAAAAGACAAGCCACTTTGTCGGCGTGCCTGCTCCGTTCCTCTGATCTCTTTATCGCTCCCTTATCTCTTTCTGTGAATCTGTTGCAGGCGAGTGCATTAGCACAAGTTCATCAACATGCAAATTGCCCGAAGGTGAATGTATTTATGCAAATGAGGGGACGTGCTGGCGGCGCACGCTCTCTCAGCCTGAATCGTTAAAAAAAAAAAAAAAAAAAAAAAAAAAAAAAAAAAGTGCATGACGGTCTCTGTGTATTTACAGTTCTATCTGTTTAATGTGGTTTTATTGGGGGGGCTGGATTTGTATATTTTGGGGGGATCTGTGGTGCCATTTTTTAAAGCCGCGTTGACTTCAGTAGACCTGTTCTGGGGCCCGGTTCATCACACCATCTTTCCCCGTCTTCCCACACCGTCCTCCACAAACTCCAGACATCACCACGACAATGTGCATGCACTCTGCTCCCTCTGCCTCACAGCAGTTTGACTTTTTCACATTCTTGAAATAATGCATGTTTTTTTCTCCAAGCATTTATTAAAATAAATCCACAGCTGTCTAACAATACAGTGTCTCTCAAATATTCTCTACCAAAGCCTGACTTTAGCTCTTGGCTGCTGCGTTTCTTGGAAAAATAGATTGTGTTTCCTCCCGTTACATGTCACTTCTCATGTGTTAATTATGCTAACTAATTATTGTTACAAACACACGCTCGTTGCCATGTACTATGTTTACCCGTGTCGTTTACAGTTTTCTGAACTTCATCTGAGGATGTGAATGCATAACGATAGGCCTGCCGTTCCTCGTGTTGCCGTTGCACCGCGTTGCACGACATCCTTGCTCTCTCGCATGTTTAGGGCGGAGAGAAGCCCCGTTGATGTTTGACATTGCACGCTCATACAGTATGTGTACATCACAACACATCAGATCCACAATCGACGCAGTCTCCCTCGGGCAATCAGTGAGGAAAAAAAACAACCGTGTGACCTTCTGCTTGTTTATTGTGTGAGAGGAATAAGTAAGCATCACCCAGCGAACTCCATCTCCTCCACTTGACTTGCTTATTAAAGATTGTTTTTACCTGGTTTTGCTGCGTCTTTGCCAGAGGGAAGAGAAAAACATATTCATAGTGCGACCAGGCACACGCAAATATATGTACACACAATACACTATGCACACGTGTATTATTATTTAAATACAGTAACACAAAGGTGACAAATACATATTAACAAGTACAACAGGTCGATATGAGGACGATGTGCGATAATATGGTTCAATATCGCGATGACACTTGAGATAAATAAAACAGATATTGAAGCGTGCATATCCTATGAAAGCCTATTTGCCTTTAAATACCGAACCGGATTCGAATTTTCATACTTAAACTGTAATTAGAACAGAAAATGTTCACGACAGCAAAGTCACTCTCTCAACTTCTCACTGGAAACAAATTTAAAAAGTACAACAGCGCCGGTGAAGAGAGGAGGGGGCTGCTTTGTTTGTGGCAAACGAAGCTAAACCGTGAGATTACAAGCAGACGGCGTTAGTTTTAGCTTGTGTAGCAGAGGGGTGTACTTTATGATGAACTATATCCAAAGGAAAAGACCGGAGACGGGCACATTTGGCGTGTACGTACACTGGTGACTGACTTAGCGTACGAGAGTCTTGTTCCAGAAAAGCCAGCGCTGGAGAACAAACAGGACCCCGCTGCCTGGGTCGTATCCACAGTAGGATTTGGTTAAATCTGTGCTAAAGCTGGCAAGAGTAAAATAAAAAGAAAGAATGGCTGAAAGGGTTACAGTGAGATGACTACATTCTCTTTTATATATTTACAGAGACAGGAAGCAATGTGAATAGTTCACAGTAAAAGAGTCGGCAAATGACAGAGAAAAGATTAAAAACGAACAGACTGAGCGAAAGTTAAATGGTGAAAGAAACAAACAGCCAGTAGGAGAGTTGGAAGAGTGTAACTGTAATGACGTTTGGCACCAAGAAGAGCATGAAGTCGGGCAGAATTGGCCTCATCAGCAGAATCCTGGGAGCCGCTCACTAGTCACTGCACGACCTCTGACCTCCAGCTGTCCACCCACACTTCACGGGCTGTGGTGAGCAGACGAGCCGGCGTCGTGGCCTCCGTCCTCCACTTTAACCGGCAGTGGGAGGGAAGACAAGACTCATCAGTCAATCATTGTCTGTGAGAAAGCTCATCCTCGACCTCCCTCGGCCCCCACAACTACGCTACCCAGCATGCCGAGTCCCGGCACCAGCTGGTTTACAAGTCACAAGTGTTAGCGCCTTAGTTCATCTCATTGTTTCATCCTTCATGTGTTTTTTTTCCTGTTCTTTTTTTGTTTTCATGATTGTTAATTTATCTCCTCCTCTCCTTCCCTTTGCTCTCTCCTCTCCTTCCCTTTGCTCTCTCCTCTCCTTCCCTTTGCTCTCTCCTCTCCTCTCCTTCCCTTTGCTAACTCCTCTCCTTCCCTTTGCTCTCTCCTCTCCTCTCCTTCCCTTTGCTAACTCCTCTCCTTCCCGTTTCTCTCTACCCTCCTCTCCTTGCCTTTGCTAACTCCTCTCCTTCCCTTTACTTTCCCCTCTTTTCCTTTCCTTCCCTCCCCACCTCCCCTTTCCTCCCCTCCCCTGAACTCCCGTCTCCTCTCCTCCTCTTCCCTTTGCTCTCTCCTCCCCTTTCCTCCCCTCCCTTGAACCCCCGTCTCCTCTCCTCTCCTGCCGCGATAACTCCTCGTGACAAACGACTCTCCCTTCCACCACTCCCCCATGGTGCACCTCTCCCTCTCCGTGTTTGGTGGAGTCGCTAATATTAGGCAGAGCAAGTTCATTAGTGTAATTTAACATTGTCTAAAGTTGTTCCACTCTCTCCCCCTCCGTTTGGCAGCGAGCTGAGATCTGCCACCGTGATGCATTTGCCGTTAATGAGCTCGCCTTGTTTATGCTTTTACAGCAGCGTGTGATAATTAAACTGCAGAGACGAGCGTGAAATAATGGCTTTGCGTTTGCGTCGTGCCCTGCTCATGTGGTGGAGTGTGTGCATGATTGTTGAAACATGCATGCATGAGCAATGGAAGACAGCTGCCATTCAAGGGGCTCGCTGCGTGTGTTGTTTGAGGGCACTAATGTGTATGTTCTTGCTTGAAATACCCTCCATGTTTCCCCAATTAAAGCTTTATTAAAGCTGTATATGTGTGTGCGAGTGTTTGTCAGTCAGCCCTGATTAAGAGTGTGAGAGAAGAGGATGCTGTATGTAGCCCCCCCCCCCCCCAACTGGCTTTTCTCATAGATTCTCTGACAGCTCTTTAATTACAGCTCTTTTGTGAAGTGTGTGGGTGTGTGTGGGTGTGTGTGGGGAGAGAGAATGAGTGTCACTGGTGTGATGACAATGAAATAGGGAGTCGCTGAATACCGAGTGGTATTTTTATTCTTTTGTCATGTAAAGAAGCATGAAACAAACATTTATCAAGAACAGAGGGAAACAAAAGGCAGCCATTCCCCGCCGCGTCACAGCCCCACACACGAATCTTTTGGCCGGCGCTTCTGCTTGTCGTCGGCGAGCGTTCGTGCCAGCCCGCCGCGCCACCACCCTGACATTGCCGCCGTCTTTTGAACTCCACATTGAGAGCAAATTGAGATCGCCGGATGCAACGAATGTGTCTCTCTCTCTCTCTCTCTCTCTTCCCCCCCCCCCCCCCCCGTGTGGTTTGTTGGAAGAACATAATGTGAACCAATTCCAGGGGGGAGAAAACCAACCACATTTGATGGATGTAGGGAGACAAATGTGGACGTCTAAGAGCCAGCTGATCTTTATGTTTGGAGACAACGAGACAAACTGAGTAGAAACTGCAGCCTCGGCTGGTTAGTTATATCTCCGCTGTTAATGGTGCAAGAGATGTTTAACTACAGTAATGTGCAAAGCTTAACATCTCAGGGTATTCTATATTTCTCCCAAAACAACAATCAGTACTTACAAGTATTGACTGTGAAGCTTAAGTCTAAAGTAGCTTATTCTCCATTGTTTGCCAAAAGCTACTGAAAGCACATCAATGAGCCAGTTACACAAGGAGACATGGACCCACATTACAAGAAACATGGGCATTGTAGTTTAGTCGAGTCGTTCTGCTGCCAGAAATGTATCAAATCAAACCAAATGTGTATTAATCCGCTGTGAAAATAGTTCCCAACAAATGCATTTACTCCTGTTTGAGTAACGTTTGCCAAAACAACAGTGCCCAGCTGTTTTGGAAGTTCTTTTTTTTTTTTTTTTTAAATGAAAGCTTTTAAAGATGTATACTTTTCTTGTATCCTGTCATATTGAGTGATTGACAAACACATTTTTGGTCCTGTTTTTTCACTGGTTATCCTCCTCCTCCTGCCAACGTCACGGTGGTGACCGGTTACTGATTCTCTGGCCAATAAACCAGCACTTCTTTGTCTTAATGTGACTTGTTTATCAGCCCATTTGGCCTGAGATTCAGCCTAAATAAACTAAACACAAACTGACAGTAAAGGCCCATGTGGACATGATTAATATTCCAGAGGCGGATCATCAAATATTTGCCATTCTCCAACTACAAGCATTGTTACCATTTCCAAATCAGTTTTTTGGTTTTTTTTTTAACTATTCCCGCAGGAGACTCATGTAACCTTTGTTAAACAGCCTGAACAGGAAATGCAGCCTGACTCGCAGAAAACTGAAGAGATACATTTTTTTTAAATACAAAGCTTCAGTTTTGACAGAGTTTGAATGACGGGAGGTCCAGTGAGTGTGTTTTAGGGTTCAAATCAGTGCTGAGCTGGTGCAATATTTAAATCACTCTACTTCCCCACAAAAAGATAAATAGTCACAATTTTATTAAAAAACCCCGTAGGGGTTCAAACAGGTTTTGCACAGATTGACCTTGCATGACAAAGATAAACACAAATACAGAATTAATCGCAAAAACGTCCCAGAAATAATAAACCCGCGCTGTACCTGACAAAACATGCTGCCGTCCTCACCTCTGGGTGCTTCTGACTTACGGTGTGTGCACCCCGTTCCTCACTGCGCTGACATGCTGTTGGAGTTTCATTTAATAACAAATACACTATATATTTTTTTTTCCTCGTCTCAGCTCGGTGTGTAGCTTTTCGCCGACAGTTCTGATCGCTCGGTAATTACATCTCTATTATGAGGAAGAGGCCGCGCGTGCGCGTGACACCGGCTGCAGCAGTTATTAACAAAGAGCGGAGCTACGAAAGGAATCTGTCGACACACTTGTCACCGTTTCTATTGACGTCTGTATCTCCACTATTTTTTTATTTATTTTTTTTTTTAATAGTGATTTATTATTATTTTGACAGAGTCCGTGCACCTCCACATGCAGCAGTACGAGGTGGAGTACCTGCAGTTTGCCTTCCGCTGGATGAACAACCTCCTGATGAGGGAGCTGCCACTACGCTGCACGATCAGACTGTGGGACACATACCAGGTAAAAACACACACAGCAAAAGCTGCTCTTATTGAGCATTTTGTTATGTCCATTTCTATCTATCTGGCTTTGCCTTGGATCTCAGAAACGGGGATATTCTCTGATAATGACGTCTATGATTGCCCTTTTGTTAATTCCTACCAACCCAGGAGGCACGATGCAACATAACACAGATTTCTTTTATTGAAGGTATTCAATCATGACAGACTTTCGTCGCGTGGTCTTAATTATACAGAGCTTATAATACAGCCTTAACTATGCTGCTTCGGCCCCCTTCACGCAGCCATGCTGCGGAAAAATTCACACTTTTTACTTGTTAGTTTAACAGAAGCGGTTAATTTGTTTCGGAAAGTTTTTAAAAAACAATATGCGAATAAGACTGTGTGAATAAGGGATTGCAAAGGATTAGTTGATTCAGTAATGAAACAAAAGATGTCAGAGGCCCCTTTCGTGCATGAAACAAAATTTTTTTTTTCTGCAATTTAAAATGTGGTTTGATTTTATGGCTGCTCGGTTGAAAGTAGATTCTATTACTGTGTTGACCTAGATGTGTACATGTGTGAGAGAGAGAGAGCAGGATCTTAATCCCATTCAAACACACCTGGACCTGCTCATTCCGCCGCCCTTTCACATCTACACATGGCTTAATAGGCGTCGCCTACAGTTACACCAGATTGTTAACCTCGGTCGGCGCTGTCAATATCACCTAATGTCTGCCATTGATTCAGCGGGGTGTGTGTGTGTGTGTGCACAAGGCTGGAACGTGTGTGGGTAGTCCGGGACTTGAGCTAAGTACATACTGTATAATGGATTTTCCAGCTGATGCAGAGGTTGAGTGTAAGACACGCGATCACACTGTTTGATCGGATGAGGAGAGAGAGACGGAGCCCCGGAGACACACATGAGAGATCACTTCTCCGCCGGTGTTTGCACAAACATGTGTCTGTAACTTTTCTGCTGTCGTCTTCACAACGGTATCTGCAGCTGTCTGCCGCCATTGTTCTTTCTGCCACCGCTTCTCGGCATCAATCAAGAGTTTAATCGTTTTCCCCCGCATATTCTCATTTCTCGTTAAGATGGGAAAGCATAAACTGCGGATGTTCTTTTCATATTTGCCCGTTATAGTCTGCTTATGGCGCAAAAGTCTGACATTTGCAACTGTAAAAAGGCCTTGCGTGACGAGCAAACGACAGGTTAAATGCAGAATACTCGCATGTGAACATTTTGCATACGGGCAGTGATGCAAATTTTTTTGTACTTTTTTCAATTAAAGGTTTGAATAGATTTGCGCAGGGCTTTTATTGTGAAAGGTAGCGACGGAAGGAGTGGATTCGGTGTTTATATGTTGAGTTTATAAGATTGTCAGTTACACACTATGTGATTTGTTGGTGCCATTTTTTTAATGCGAAAGATCAGAAAAATCCTTAAGGCCTTAAGCCTCAAGTCAGACATTTCCACAGGTCTGAAGTCAGCGTGTGATAAGTGCAATGTAGTGCAGTCGCTTCCCGTTAACACAAACGCAACCACGTCTGTCAAGTAACGGCACCTCGTTGTGTGCATGGCTTTTTTGGGGTTGCAGGGAAAAGCTCCAGCAGAAGCAGAGACGTTAGTGGATGGGAAGCACATTGAGATTTAGAGAGATCAGGGAGTAAAGTGGGGGTGTTGAAGAAATTCAAGGATGCAAGGGGAGAGAAAGGTGTGACGGTGTGAAGTCAAAATAGACGAGAGCGAAAAGAGAGGAAACTTGGAGATGGAAAGACTTGGTGCTTAGTCCACAGCCTTCAACAAACCATAGCTTGGATGAATGAACACCGCATACATCTCATCTGAATCTTTCTGAACTTTAACTGACTGAACTTTGGGGCGGCATGAAGTAGATTGCAGCTGACAGGTGAAAGCCACGTAATGTTTTCTTGGCTTCCTTGAATTAAGAACCCTCACGGCCATTTTTGTGTCAGGTTTGGTTTGCGTTAGCGCCCTCGGATGCTGATGGAACACCACTGCTGGCTTGTAAGAAAAATATATATATTTGATTAATTACACATCAGGTTTTCCTTTACCGCAAACTCAGGGTGGAACCAAATATATTCTTTCTCATCATCTAATGAAACGTTGAGTCCTTGTGCTTTTGAATTGTAATAATGCAAACTGTCATATGAGCACTTTAACTATTTTAAATCTATTGCTTCCAAATATTGATATGACCATAAACCTACTCGGGCTGCAACTGACTTAATCTGAGAGTTTGGTTTCGCTTTGATCGACCAACGATTGCAAGTCAATTTAAAAACTCTCGGTTCCGTCTGTCCCGTTTGTTTCTAGAGCCTGTAATCATGCATTTCTTTTTTTTTTTTCTCCGTTGACTCCCACACTTTTCAAACGCTCACTCCGGAGACCAAGGAGAGACCAAGGACACCGCGTCATTTCCTGTAATTCGTCACCTGAGCTCCAAAAGCCTCGCCATTGGCTGCCCCCCCCCCCAGCTTATGGAGACGACGTTACAGCGTGTGTCGTGCATCATAACAAAAGCAAGCTAATCGATGATCAAATTTGTTGCCAACAATTAGTTGTTGCGGACCCAAAATCCCACTCACGGTAATTGATCCCCGTCGGCATAGATCCTCCTCACTCTCTCTGCTCTCGATGGCACGAAGCTACCGGGTCGTGAACCCGAGAGTCAAAAACACTCCCGAGTCCTCCGGTTTTGAGTGCAGCCTCTCCACTCACATGACTCATGTGGACATTGGCGATTAGGAAGCCAAAGAATCCCATTTGTCTCAGAAGGAACACTTTTGGCTGACCCGACAGCAGCGCTTATGTTTTCATGGACCCGCTTCCTGGTCAGCCCATGCCTTAAAGATACCGTTGTGTGTCTACTGGGCGATTGATACTAAATCATTACATCTCCCATTTAAGATGAGTTTTTTTCAGGTGCATTTGTTTTTTACTGAACTGCAGCCAGCTTGGCAGCAAAGACAGACGTACCTAGCGGCGTACAGCCTACCTTTACAGTCCTCCGGATTACTCCCATAAAGTAAATGGAACACAAGCTCGTGGTTATTGAGACGTACTAGCTGGCCCCGCTTACCGCTCTGTGCCTCAGCCAGCTCTGTTATAAGGTGAAGTCTGCATGGTGTCCATAGTAACAATAGGTTGTTTTTCATCGTGTGTCAACAGTTTTAAGAGCTCAGCGACAAATCTAATCACAACCCTGCTAAAAGAGTGAAAGAAAAAGAGTGAAAGAAAGGAAGCCAATGAGACGAATGCAGCAACGACATGCAGAGAAACAGAGGAGTGCTGCTTTCAAAGTGGATTTACAGCATCGTAAAACATAATACCTTGTCGCGACATTTAATTACAACTCGCGTGTCATTTTGTGACTATGATTTACACCTTGTTGTCAGAGCAGTGGGAACACTGATGGATGCCTTAAAGCCACTTGGACGCCTCACTTTAAGCTGTATTCATTGGGACTTTGAATTATTTGGTTTACGCAATTGATTCACACACAGGTTTGTTTAAGCAGCAGAGAGCAGCAGGTTGGTATCGGACCAGCTGCTGGAACGTGTGGATGGCTTCAGTGTGGTTGGAAGTAAGTCAGTTCAAGAGTTCAAGTACCGTAGTTCACCAGGATCGATGGAGCTGGACCGGGTTTGGACGTGTGGATGGAGTGTGTTGACATGATAGTCTGTAAATAAGAAATATGAAAGATACAGTGTTCATAAGCGTCCATGGGCGGAGGAAGCATTGAAAATGTGGGCGGGACAATCTGTTAAGACGACGTTAACACCCTTTACTCGTGGCGTGGGTCAGTCCCGAACGGTCGACGCCATCTCAGAATCTGATAACCGCTGGTTCAAACCAGTATAGATGTCGTTTTGAGCCGTTTTCAACAACGAAATGCAGATTTTTGTGATACATTTTATAAAATGAACGTCAATATTAACACCAGCATTGATGTGTGTTTCACCACAGTGCAGTCCTCTCACTTAGTTTAGAGCTCACGAAAACCTGTTGAAGTGTGCAGTACACTCTGTACTGAAGCGGTTCATAGACGAGACGCCCGTGTCGGCGCACAACACGTGCTGCTGTCTACTCCGAGCCTAAGAAAGAGAAGCGGGAATGAATGATTAAGCAGTGTTTCTTTGTCGTGACTTGACGGCAGCCCGAGTACACGTTGTACCTGTAATCCATCCTCTGAATATTTGATGGTTGACAATGTCGTTTGCCCCCTCCTCTTCAACACTCCCTTTCAGAAACAACACACACATGCACCTTTTTTTTTTTTTTTTTTGGATGGGCTCTGTCGCGGCCCCTCACCTCCACTCCCCCCCCACCCCCGCTAGGTATATTAGGCCACTTTTCCACTCATGAAACTTTCAGTGGAGGCTGTCGGCGAGGTCTGTCCCGTTCTGCCATCGTTTATTGTTCTTTTTATAGAACTCTTTTCCGCATTCTTCCGCACTCCTACGATGTCCTCCTCTATCCTATCTCTTCTCCTCCTGAATGACGCTTGAATGACGCTTTTTGAGAGACGGTCGACAACAACATGCAACCAGGTGGAGATTTGAAGTGCTTCAATTAATTGGATATGCTGCGCAAAAAAAACAAAAAGAGCCGGCGGCATGTGATTTCATACTTTTTAACGAAGTCGGTTCTTTGGCAAACTTCCGCTCAGGGGACAATGCTCTTGAAGCTGTTAAAATCTTTGTGTTCCTTCCCTTGTCAGAAGGCTTCCCTGTGTTTCTCTTGTCATGCTTTACCGACTTTACCTCGGAGGCAAGAACGTCTCTCTCTCTCTCTCTCTCTCTCTCTCTCTCTCTCTCTCTCTCTCT